GGACAAATGCAAACCGTTCGCTCCACTGACACTTGGTGGTACATAGAATGTCATCTTGAGACCTCAGTGTGGTGCGCCGCGGGGCGGGATGACCTACTTTCAACGGATGCAATGGACGTTCTCCTAATTTCATCGGCGGGCAACTCGTCCAAACACTAAATCTTTCAAGTGTAGAACGCATCAAAGGACACAACTAATAGGAACATGTGTAGGTCGAGCGTATAGGAAAAGAGTCATAACTTACCAGGAAGCCATCCGGCGTGTAAGTTTCCATCATGATACTTCTTAAAGGCCTCGTAGCTAACAGAGACACTTTTCTTTCTGCTCAACTTGAGATAATGTGTGTCTGTGCGGTTAGCAAAAAACCGAGACCTACAGTAGAGTTTTGCTCTGGAGAGAAGCAATTTAGCTTCACCCCTAGAAGTGGATGCTCTAACATTGCAAAAAGTAGGCAGATCCAATGAAGAGCGCCCGTGTAGAATTTTATGGAAAAGAAGCAAATCAAATTTGTGTATGGGTCAGCAGAGAGAGCAAAGGCCAAGGTTGGCATTCCTATCCGCAGCAGAGGGGATGGTGTCGTAGAGAAACCCAATGTCTCTAATCATAGTTTTCTTGTGAAATTGCTCTAAGCCTCTTCAATTTTACTGATGAATTTACGTTTGTAGGGACGGAGTTTACGTTTGTAGGGATCGTTTATAAGGATTCAGGAATTTTGGTGACCCTTGAAAACAGTTTGCTTTCTGCTTGACTGGATTTTCCCTATAAAGACGCCATTTCAAGGAGAGGGCCGTCCTACCGGTCAAAGAGGCATAGTTGTCCAGTGTGATTCAAGCGGCTCACGCTCCGGAGTAGGACTTCACTCCTTTCTATCTCAATGTTTTTAATAATCATTGATTGTTTACGATAAGACACATCACCTTCTAACTTTGTTTTGTACCAAACAATCGTTCTTGCTACGAAAATGCAGGGTTAAAATTGGCATTTTCAAAGATTTGGGCTTGGACGAGTGACGGTACTGCTTCATCCTGTCGCCCCATATCTATTATGACGAAACTGACCTTTTCAGATGTACTTAATTATTAATTCCTTTTTCAAACAATGAATATATACATGGCGGTGACAGCCAGTAATGAATCTACTGGAGCTGTGTTCAGTTTTGGGTAACTCACTTGAAGCTCCCTTCATGGCTCTGCCACGAATGGCTAACACGACTATCTAGGAATTACCATTTTTGTCATTGGATTTGGTAAACATGGATGCCAAAAAGGTACTACTAGGCCATAAACCTCCAGTGGAACTTTTCCACGCCCTCCGGTAGCCTGTTCACTTGCCACCTGGATTTCATTTACCCAGTGAAAAGCTTCAAAAGCAAGTTTTGAATCCTATAATGTGAGATTTTGACATTTTTGTTTACTTTTTAGTTGTTTCTTTGTTAATTTTTGTTTTTGGTTTCTTCTTGGTCAAAACTACGAACATTGGCAATAAGAAAAACGCTCAGAAAGCAATCTATCCTATCATATTGCACTGAAATTGTAAATATTTGCTCTATTGTAATACCACTTCTATGCTTTACAAACTTCTTTATTATCAATTACATCATTCACAACTAAAAATTATGCCACAAACAAACAAAAGAAATATTCCACCTGCTATCTTCAAAAAATTTATTGTATTGCCATTGAACATATTCAAGTTTACCGTGATGAATCCGATAACCTAAAAAAACNAAAAAAACAGAAAAATTCGAATTAAGACAAGCCCTAGTTCAGCACAAGATCATTAGCTATTACTAATCAGTAAAAGTGGCTCGGAGAATAAGTTCTACACCATCCATCAGTCAAGTGGACGTTTTAAAACTCAGATTTTTTAGAGAGAAAAAAAACTTCAAAATCCTTCTAGGTGAAGGTGAAGTTTACTTACCTTCGCAGACGTCCAGGTGCTCCTCCGCGGGGAAGCGGAGCGCAGTTCGTTACGGAAAAATCGACCCGAACTCGCATTCCGTCAATGCGTGCATCCTTCAGTTCTTCTTTGGCCTTAAATTGGTTAATTATGGAAATTACTTGTAATTCTGAGAGTTGAAGGAAGAGTCGTCAGTTCCGCAGAAGGGAGCACCTTAGGGGGAATCTCTAGCTCTAGGTGATGGATGTGCTTTCACAGTGCTTTCATCCTCTCAGACTGGTGTGATGCCACAGAAACTCTGATTCTTGTCGTTGGTAAGTGTAAACCCTTCCAACCGGTCCAGCCGCATTTCAGTTTCAATGGAAACGATGAAAGCTTCGCTTCAACGAGGGCGGCCCTTTTTTTGGTTTTCCAATCGTTAAGGGTACGGTACTTATCAGTAGTTTACTTCTCAAAAAGAAAACAGTCAGAAAAAATGGTGTAGCTGGATGCACTGCACTGCACCCGACGTATCCAGCTACAGCGGGTGTGGTACACTTCAATCGAAATGGTCGCTTCGCAGCGAGCGCGACGTCGCTTACGAGGAATTTAGCGAATGAAGCAGAAGCAGCGCAGCGAGTAAGCAATACAGAAACAATGGAAGAAATGCTAGAATCATGTCACTAAACTATAATAGCATATCGATGAAGCCGTATGAAGAACGCTGGGACCGTAGTAACGATGCAACTAGCCCGCGACTGCCGCGAGCGGCGAATCGATTACACGCAACCGATTCAACTGCCTATCTCCCAGCTGACAGTAATGAGTAGCTGACTTGAAAATCACTCACCGCAGCAGCATCTCGTGTTCTACGATAGTAGATAAAACCGAATCCGCGGCTTTTTCCCGTTCTATGGTCCCGAATAATTTTTATCTATAAGGGAATCTTTTGTTCATGTAAAGTATCTACATAGAGAATCGATGAGTAGAAAATGGTAAGTTAACATACATAGTCGATTTCTCCGAATTCCCGAAATATATTTTCCAAATCTCGTTCTGAAGTGTCTACATTCATTCCAAATATACCAACACATCTAAACGAAATTATCGATTTTTCGCTTGATGGATGTGTCTGGGCTTGAGCCAATCAGCGGCCAATCGGTGAGTAAATTGACCAATAAGATCTGAAGTAACGAACCTACATGGACGTGCGTCTTCTCTTCCGTCGCGATATCTTGATTTGTGTGGTTCACGTAGTGGCGAACGCGATCGACTTAAATGTCGGCTTCTGTTGTATAGTGAATAATACCAAAAGGACAGTTACTCTAGGACATACCACAATTCACACATCGAGCCATACTTGTTACACCGTGGTGGGTGTGATAACTTCTCCCCGAAAATCGCGTTGGGCTTGCCGCATCCGATCGCGCGCAGCCGCGGTACGCGGCAGCGGTTCGCATTTTGGGCACCACTGCCGCTCGGGAATTCGGGGAGAAGTACCGCCACCCAACCTCGGTATATCCAGCAACCTAAGTGGCTCGAATGTGAATTCTGGGTTTCTAGACGCTAAACTATGCACGCAGATACACAGACACACTTCATCAGCCGCGCCAGCCACAATATAATGTGAAGTTAGCGCTCAAGCTACCTTTACCGTACTCCTTGTTTGCAGATGGTTGAGGTTTTTGCTTTTGCTTGATGTATTTTGATACTTGTTACTGATGCTATTGATCCGTATTGATTTGCATTGCGTTCTATGACTGACTGACTGATTGTCAAGTTCAGAGTGATTTGATTGATTCATATCTCCGGTTCTGTTTGTCGATTATTGTCTACTCATGGTGCATTGTTGATTTGATTTTATTGACGGCCCCTAGTTCAAAACATCGCTGGTGGGATCAGACCTGACATCTACTGAGCCACGTTATCACACCTGCAACGTTATTCTCATATCAGTCATCGAATCGACCTATCCACTACAATAAAATTTTACAGCCCATTCAGGACCTAAGGCACCACTTTTATTGCGAAAAGGCGAGCGACCGATCGCCATGATTCGCTGGCGGTTGGAAGACGTCGACGTACTGAAGGAGCTCGTTCTGGATGACTCGTAGCGGCTGAAGGCCAGTGGTGAGCCTCACCGAAGCGCCTTGCAATCGATCGCGCGCCTTTGCATTGTAAAAGCGGAGCCCTGTGAAGTTCTGATTTTGACGCGTGCGGTTGCGATGCGGAACGTGCGCATCACATCCGCACGCGTGAGCTGAAACATTGCACCCAATTTACTAGGTTCCAGATGAGCTGTACAAGAAAACAATATTTCATTTGAGCAATTACAAAACTGTACCTGTACTTCCGATCTCTTTTAGATGATATATCATGATAATGTGATGAGCGTAGCGGCGATCGTGAACTGCTTCGTGATCGTGAACGATTTCTGGAACGTGAACGGGAATACACCCGTATGCGACGCCGTTCAACTCGGGCGAATAAATTATCGTGCGATGATGTCGATGACGTCGACGATTTGTTTTCCTTCGATTTTTCTGTACTGTAAGATCTGCAAATGGGCGTTTTTGATGTCAATAGTTGCTATGAATATAAATTTGCAAGAAAATGGCATAATCATAGCACCCTACATTCCTTTTCTCATTGAATGTATGATCGCGTTTTTGTGAAGCAGCCCCCAAATCACAATAGAATGCTTAAAAGACGAATGGTATCGATTAACCGTCCCAGGAAAAATGGAAGGTTTGGTTGGCCTGGGCGAGTATCGATCCGTGCATGTGTAATAGTGCCCCACTTGCCACTACTTCACCTCCACCTTTTCTTTTCGTGTTCCACGGGAAACTGTTGATGCATCTTAGTTCATTGAAGCAATCGAGAAAACCAGATGAAATTCCGGAACCCAAGCTTCCGGACGAGGTTACGTCGAAGAAAATGGAGATTAGACGAGATTTCAGTTGCCGCAGAGCAACGTGTGTTAGCTACTAACGTTATCAGCTGATTGCAATTCCAGCAAACGTGCTCCATTTGGAATGGTACCAGTTTTTACAAGACCGCTGAACACGTCCATTTCTGGGAGTTCGAGCGGCAGTGCCTATGTGACCCTCTCAGGGACCATAAACGCTCATCTGTGCTTCTGAAGGGGGTATGTGCTTATGGTGAATGGACCGTGGTAGAGTCATGTCATCGCTGAAATCTCAGTTCCGGGGAGAATCGCCAACATCAGGGGAGGTACTCATAGTTGAAGGGAAAAGTACCCTCTGCCTGTTCACTGATTCTGCAACCCGATCGTTCCACAGAGTTAAGAACGAACAGGGGACAACAAGGTATCACTATCCCTTTTTCAATTGCTTGAGTCTCCGCGAGGGCAAACTAGTGAATTGACCGAGAACAAGGTGGACTCTGTGGTTATCTCTAGTAAATCTCGCCCAAAACAGACTAGAACTTATCATTTGCTCAAGAACTTATCATTTGCTCAAATGAGCGTTTTTTATTTATAAGAGACCAAAAGAATACTGCGAAGTAAAGGGGTGATATAGAATTCATAAGTGGGATCTAAGGCCTGCTCATGAAGTATTACCGATTGGAGAAACCTGAAGAACCAAGCTGACCTGTGTGAAGAACGAGAGTCTGTGCTGCCGACTGCTGAACGTTCAAGGTGTGATGATGCTGGAGACCTCTGAATACGGTAAGATTAGACGGACCCATCAAACGGTGAGTAAAGAAAAGGTACAAAGATCATGCTGACATCGTAATAAAGGATTTGGCATCATTACTTATGTGATGAGAAAATTTTACTTGCTTTATATTCTGAAAAAGTAAAAATTCACTGAATTTACTAAAAATTTATAAAAATTTCTTGCATGATATCAATGGTTAAAGCTACATCCATTGAATTCAAACATTATCAAGCTATGTAGTTGTGCCCAACCTTTGCAAACCTTCATATGCATTCGTATCCCTCACTCCTCCTCCTCCTCCTCCGCCTTCGCCGAGGGCTTCTAACAGCCATTTTAAATTATTCATTGATCTACCCATTTCATCATTAAATAAAATTTGTAAGAAAATCTTCTAGATCAATGGATGAAAGGAATAGCAGAAGGCAGAGTCTTCGCAATTCTTTGAGAAACTCAAAACTCCAGAGGATTTTTCGAAAGTATTGTAATCAAGAAATAGGCGCATGGGCGATATTTTTCCATCTCACAGTGAGTTCAGAAGTTCCGTGGAAGTAAAAAGAAAAAGCTGATCTTTTTGGACGCAAATGAAAGCACTGATGAGGAAAACTCGGAAGACTCACCGTATCGTGTTCAAACTCTTGCCTTTCCATGGTTTGTAACAAAGAGAGTATAGCTTCTTTGTTCGCTAAGAGGAACGATTGCAGTCCTGAATACCAAATTCATCAACTGAATGCCGTAAAAATGCAATATTTACACTGAAAAAGGGTCCCTAATAGAGTTTACACTGAATACTGATTCTATGGACCTTCGCAATCGTGGGTAGTAACAGGTGATCCGTTTTAGTGGCTGTTTCTAGAAGAGGAGGCTCATACTCAAGGGCTACTTCTGATAAAACAGCTGACGGCGTGGAAGATTCAACAACAGTGGTGAGAATTCATGAAACGGAGAATACGTGCCAAAGCAATCGCCTCTTCATGAAGCTCGATTTGCATGACAAACATGGAAATCGATCAATAACAGCTCTGTATGTAGAGCTGGAGCTAAAGTGTATGATTGTGGTACGATTATGCTTTCATAGAAGGGCACTGGAATTTCCGAATGCAATCCAGAATATCATTATGGTTTTCGTGTCGGAAAATACGATTCGACAACTTCAATTTCAGCGGAAAAATGGTGAATTGTGCTTGCAGCTATTCTGGAAGTAAGCAAAACTACTAGTAAGCTTAAGGGATTTGAGGGGGGAGTCAGTGGCTCAGCTCCCTATGTAATTCACCATACTAGTCGACCTCGTTTGGCAAAGTTTACTCGCCATGAGATTGAGCTTGGTTGGGAAACTCCGTATCATCCTTTCTAGACCTGACCCCGTCTGACTCCCACGTGACCATTGAAGTTGCATCTACGAGAGAAGAAATTCGCTGATTAGGCCGAACTGGAAAGTGAGATCTCGCACTTCTCTTGCTCGTAGCAGCCACTGTTTTGGACTACCGGAAGTGAAAGTTGGGCGAAAGGTCGGACCTACGTCAAGGATCATAACGGGAATCATTTTGCTGGTTGATATCCTTGCACTGTGGAGTTACCATTAGTTCCAAGGTGTGGAATTCAGTGCAAAACGTTTTGGCCAATCTAATAAAGCATAGAGGATTAATGTCGTAGAATTTATGATAGCGATTTTTTAGGCTTCATTTCAACCGACAAACATGGTGACAAGAAGTTCCCGAATTTCAATTTTACATTCTTTAGCGAAAAAATGGCGAATTGTGCCTACAAGTAGTCTGCAAGTGGGCAAAATTACTAGTACGCTCGATGGGCTCAGTAGTGAACTCAAATTCCGGGAGCTGTAGCTATATACTCCGAGCCTTCTGCCAAACGTCGGGATTGAACATGCTCGATGTTTGAGTGGGCTATCATTCCCCTAGGTCGACTGTGAAGGGACTCGAACTCCCTAGAGCCCGAGACAGTAGATCCCGCAAAATCGTTCCGTGAATGAAACCGCTTGGATCAGTTTTCAAATAACGTTTAAATGGATCTGAATAAAGTAAACATTAACAGTAAACCTTCGTTAATCGCCATATGGATCCATGGCGTTAATTAGCCCCACAAAAACCATACAAACATTGGAGCTGTGGGAGCCTTGGAACATACCACCCCAAATCCTGTTCCTTTTGAGCAATGTATAATATATACTCTACAGTCCAAGATGAATTCATCTTGAACCACGTTCATGTTTATCAAGCTCTCCATCAGCTCTCTCTGTTTGTTGCTTCCGTAGTGAAGGATCTCTCCAAATTCCTCCCACTATGCCAGCTTCTCTAATTTTCACTACGACCCCTCTGAGTATTTTTAGCATAATCTAACCCTTGAATTATGTTAATTTGTTATTTTTAATTTTATTTGATTATTTATTTTATTTATTTTTATTTTGTTTTTCTTTCCAGTCCCTTTGGATCACAAGGGACATACGTTGCTACACAATGGACACCAGCGAATGTTAGCCAATCGTGCTGGTGGAAGGAACGTCAATGAATAATTGCCGTCGATCTTGCCTCTTTCCGGTTGACTGGTAGCTAACTAGTAATGGAAAGGAAAATATCGTAACGCAATCGATCCTCAGATTCTCCATTGGGTCAAGTCTTCGATGATCCCTGGAGGCTCAGGGTCGAGCGGCTGTTGGCGTGTACTCCAAAAAATCAACATGAATCTCAAAATTTCCCGTTACTTAGATAACGTAGTGAGCCGCTCTTCATATGAAGGGTTTTTTAGCCAATTTAAAAATCAGTATGTTCAATGGTCCGGTTAGAATTTATATGACGTCCACCTTGGAAATGATTTTTTGGAGCCATGACGCACATACGGGTGTTGTAGGCCTGTAGTAGGAGTCCCGTTTGCCCCTCAAAATAAGTACCGTGGGAAAATCTATCTGGGATGATTTTGAAGTTTAAGTTTTCCGCTGGCACCAACCTCCCTAACATTAAGAAAATATAATATAATGCTGACGAGTTTTCGAGCAGCGTGGCGCATCCCAGCAAAACCGCCAGTTTTTCCGTTCCCCCTACTTCCACTAGCGGCTACTAGGGATCATTCGCCACTTTCCAGAAATAAAAGTAGTGGTTTACCCTCAAATCAAAAAAAACATTTAAAAAAAACTATTTCCTTCGTGGCTTCTACAATCAATCAT